TGGTACAACTGTTAGGCCATTTCACTGTGATATCTTTGACAGCTTTCCCAGGTGTGGAGCGTGTTTGCTGTCTGTGGGTAGAACGTGTCCTATGTTCTGGGTGCTTTCAGTCACAACTACCTTAGGGAGGCTCAGGTTTGGAAGAAGAGAGTGTCAGGATATAGCTGTCTTGGGAAATGCCTTGAGCATTGGAAGCGGTGTTGGCTGTGGCATTTGTGTCCAGTGGTGGTAGCGGCGCTGGGATTTTCTCTGAAGCAGTCTCGTGGTGTTGCTGGAGTGGTTTTTCTGATTGGGGTGACTACAACTCTGGTTCTCGCATTTCCCTAGAGATTGTGGGACTGCCTGATGTCTCTTAATAAGCATCTCCTGTGCCTGAATTAGTTTAAGAATATTTTGATATTCGCAACTAGGAATGCTAATAACTTCTGTATGATCATAATTGGTCAAAATAAATTATGTTTGCATATGAAATAACAATGGTTATTTATGCCAAGGGGAATTTCTAGATTTCTATCTTTTATATGTTCTTCTTTATTTTTGAAATTTTCTACAATGAATTATGAGTTAGTAGAAATTTCTAGTGGGAGTAAATACATAGCAAAACTGTGTTATTTTATAACATTAATACTCTTGTGGAACACGAGAAAACAGAAATACTACTGGTTTTCTGTGAAGGGGTTGAAGTTATCAAGAATGACAGTCATATTGACAATGCCTTACAGAGACTTAAAAGTCAAGTTAAGAGCTAGTGTCTTCGCCAGCTAGTTCTGTGACCTTAAATACATCACCACCTCTCCAGGCTTATAGTCTTTCATTTGCACAGTGTCTAAGTTGAAGTACATGCTTGACTTTTAAACTTGGCTACTTGTAGCCAGTGTGTTACTGGTGGAGGGGAGAAAGATTACTGATGCCAAGGGCTGAAGTGTACTACATCCTAAGTTAAGCCAGAGGAAATACACACGTATGTATCGCATTTGTTGGATGTCAAAAATTTCTTTGAAAAATGCTGTTGTGTTTAATTACCAATTTGAGATACTGGGCTAAATCATCAAGTTTCCTTTTAGCCTTGATATTCTATAATTTTACTATTTTTCCCATTGAATTACACTTACTGTAATATCAACTAGGTAGCTTTACACACTCACCCACACACACATAGACGAAACATAGACCTACATAATCTTAAACTGGAAAACATCTTATGGACTTGGACTTTTTATTTATAAGTGTATTATCTAAGAACATAGTTCTCATTTAAGAGCTTATTTAAGGGGCTGGTGCCATGGCTCACTTGGTTAATCCTCCACCTGCGGCGCTGGCATCCCATGTGGGTGCCAGTTCTAGTCCCGGTTGCTCTTCTTCCAGTCCAGTTCTCTGCTGTGGCCTAGGAAAGCAGTGGAGGATGGCCCAAGTGCTTGGGCCCCTGCACCCGCATGGGAGACCAGGAGGAAGCACCTGGCTCCTGGTTTTGGATTGGTGCAGCGCCGGCCGTGGTGGCCATTTGGGTAGTGAACCAACGGAAGGAAGACCTTTGTCTCTCTCTCTCACTGTCTATAACTCTACCTGTCAAATAAAAAAGAGCTTATTTAAGTACTTAGGAGGATTCTACTGTATGTCGTGGTTACTAAAAATGTATATTACACAGTGACTGAAATGTAAAAAAATCGAAGTAATTCCACTAGCACTTAAAACAGAATAAAAAACCGTAGAATACTGTTGTTGACTATGATTTAATAGGCTTTCACGACTAAACATAATGAAGAATAACAATTTCACCATTGGGGAAAGATGTGGTAAAGTTCAGGCTGAGAAGTTTATACCTAGATTGTCTGGATCAGGTTATTGATTTTTTCTTACATATTAAAAAAGTATTCCTGGGAATTCAAACAGATTGAATATTTAGTGTAGTTGGGATATTAGTCATTTGGAGTCAGTGAGAGGAAATTTGGAAAATAAAAAAGCCAAAAGCATTGATCAAATTGTCAGTAACCTTGAATTTTTTTCCTTAGAATTTTGTTCTTGGTTCTGAAGGCAGTGGAGGGGTGGTTTAGTCCTTACGCATTAGAGTGATGTGAGAGACTTGAATTTTAGAAATGACGGCTTTGGCTGTGGTGTAGATAATGCATTGTTGCAGAAGCAGTAACGAGAAGGTGTATTTCAGGTATGAGATTCAACAAGTTGTGGAAAGAAGTAGATGTGTTGCAGAAAAACCCTAGAGGTAGAAGCCATGGGATTCATCTGTTGGGATGAGGGAGTAAGGAAAGGTGAGGCATTCAGGATGATGCTGTGTTACTTTCAAGGTCAGCTGACAGACAATTCGAAAGAGCAGTGGTTTTGAGGAAAATGATGAAAATTTCCATTCTTGTGTTGTAGATGTGGGGTTCCGATTTATGCTACTCTTACGGTCTGGGAACTCACAAACCAAGAGAATGCCATAAAATTAAACCCAGCAGGTTATCTACCTGAAGAAGACGTAAGACTTTTCTGGAAGGACACATAGTGAAACCCGATGGTCCAGAATTCTCACAGATAAAATCCAACCCAAGATGCACTCAAAATACAAAATGGCAAAAGAAATAGGAAAACATGGTGGAAGTGAGTTAGCAGACCCAAAAGATCAGCAGGCACTGTGGCATAGTGAGCTGGCCCTCCACCTATGGTGCTGGCATCCCATATGGGCGCCGGTTCACGTCCTGGCTGTTACTCTTCTGATCCAGCTCTCTGCTATGGCTGGGAGTGCAGTGGAGGATGGCCCATGTGCTTGGGCCCCTGCACTTCAGAGACCTGGAAGAGGTTCCTGGCTCCTAGCTTTGGGTAGACCTAGCCCGGGTTGTTTTAGTATACCAGAGAATGAAACACCTTTCTCTTCATCTGCCACTCTCTGAATCTACCTCTCAAATAAATTAAAAAACAAATAGTAGAGTTAACAGAAGGAAGTGAAATCATAAGGCAATCATGAGAAACTATGACAAAGAATAAACCAGTGTAGCAAAATAGAACTTCTAACTAGTTCTATCTTCTATTACATAACCAATAGAACTTCTAACAAGTTCTTTTTGGCTTTACAAAATAATAAGTGAAATAAAAAATTCTCAGATTAAATGTGAAACTACAAGTATACAGAGAAGTAATTGAAGGAAGGGAGTGAGAAAGCATAAATACAGCACAGAAAAAGAAAATATTTGAACATATAAAAGATGTGGAGATCAGAGAGTAAAAAGTAATATACAAGTACACTTCAAAAAAGTTTGTGGTGGGCATTTGATGTAGTGGTTAAGATACTGCTTGAGATGCCCACGTCTCGTATTACAGTGTCTGGGTTCAAGTTCGGGCTCTGTTCCCAGCTTGCTAATGTGCACCCTGGGAGGCAGAGAATACTCTGTTTGGGTCCTTGCCACTCATGTGGGACACTCAGATTAAGTTCCAGGCTCCTGACTTTAACCTGGCCCAGGCCTGACTTTTGAAGGCATTCGGGGAATGAACCAGTCCATGCCAGATTTCTGTTTGTCTATCTTTCAGGTGCTCTGAATTCTTTTAAAAAGTAAAGTTCATGGAAAATGACATTAAAAAATTTTATTTGGCACAACATTTTTTGAGATACATACAAATGAGGGACTAGCATTCTAGTGCAACAAATTAAGCCATAGCTTGCAATGGCTTAATAGCTCTGTGAATTAAGAAAAAAAATCCATGCATATGAGAGGTTTTCAAAAAGTTTATGTAAATGCATTTTATGAAGAAATTAGGAATGGATTATAAAATTTTTTGCACAAACATAATTCTGTTGTTCCACAAACTTTTTGAAGTGACATGCAGTAGGGAATGGGGAGATGTTTATCAAAGGGCACCAAGTTTCAGTTAGGATAGATAAGTCGTTCTGGAGATCTTTGCACAGCATAGTAACTATAGTTATCAATAATGTATTGTGTACTGGAAAATTGATCTTAAATATTTTCACCTCAAATAATTATGTGAAATGACAGTGTTAATTAGCTAAATGTTGTCATTTAATAATGTATACATACATGAAAACATCATGTTGTATATTGCAAATATATTCTATTTGCAAATTACATCGCCAAACTGCTGGGGGAAAGTACAATTAAATTAAAGTTTCTATATAACAAAATATAGTAAAAACAAAATGGAAAAAAAGAACTAAACTGGAGAAATTATTTGTAAACCATATAATCAATAAGGGTATTAATAATCAAGATACAAAAAGTGTCCTTAAAAATCATAAAACAAATGAAATTTAAAAAAACCAACCCATCTAAAAAATTGGAAACAAGTCAATTAGAGGAAAAAAATTAATGACCAATAAGTAAATGAAAAGCTCCATAATCTCAGAAGAAAGCAGGGGAAATGCTGACTATCACACAGTGAGATACCATTTGATAGCCATCATATTAGCAAAAATTAGTAAGTCATAGACAATAGTTTTTGGCAGGATGTGAAGAAACAAGAACTCTTGTTTATGGGAGAATTAAATGGCATAATTAGTTTGAAAAACAATTTGGAAGAGTTTTCATACAACTACTGTGCAAAATTTTGGTATCACTCTTTGGGAGACAGAAAATTGAAGAGGAAATCCGATCACTTAGCAATTCCCCTGTACATTTCTGTATTAGAGAAATTCTTGAGCTTGTGTAGAGGATGTTTATTGCAGGTTTTTTTTGTAGTAGCCAAACAGTGGAAACAAATTATCTTTCCCTCACTGGAGAAAGAATAAATAGATGGTGGTTTACTCATATACTGGCATACTAATTAAGATTAATTAGCTCAGTCTACATGTATAGTGCATATAATCTCAGGAGCATGATGCTGATTTATAACAGCTTTCAAAGGATCTCATCCATACCATGTCATTATTTACATAAACAAAAGTTAAAACGTAGAAAGTGTATAAAACAGTACATGTTACTTATGCTCATATATATAGGTGTATATAGTGTGTGTGTGTGTGTGTGTGTGTGTGTAACAAAAGGACTAAAACATACCTGAGAATGGTATGCACTGACTTGAAATGTGGTGCTAACTTCCGGGAATGGAGGGTGACACCTGGGCCATACCCGGTTTTGGCCTCACTTCCAGAGTTTCACCTTCAGCCAGCTGAGCTTTTTCCCAGTAGATAGTGCACAGGGCTGGCTGTGTGGTCATTCCATCCTTGTTGGCTCAACATAACACACTGCTTTTCTGCACTTTTTCATGTTCGGGATGTTTCATAATTTAAAACTGTATAAAAAGTGGTTTACAGTGACAAGGTTAGAATGGTCTGTAGAGTTGTGGAGGCTAAATCAGACGGAAGCTGAAAATGTCCATTGGTCCCATAATCACAGAGATGGCAGCTGGTTCAACAGGAAGGTGCAGAGCCAGCTGGTGGCAGAAGCAAGTATTCAATCTGAATCTTAACAGGCTTGGTGTTTGCATTTCTTCCACTTAGCCACACCGCTTCTGGATGTGGTTAAAGGTAACTGAAAGGACTGAGTTAGAAACAGTGGTAGAGGGTGGAAAACCTGAAGTGGTCGTCCCTTGCTGAAACAGACATGGCCAGGGGAGGAGCGTGGGGATGAGGGGCAGTGCCTAAGACAAAGAGCTGAGCATCTTCTGCACACAGCTTTGCTATCTGCCGAGAGATGTTGTACCTGAACGCTGACGTCACCTCTGGATAGGACTTTTTCCTGGAGCCCAGGTAGTAGGATGTGGGACCCTAGCAAAAAAGAGAAAAATCAGCAGCCTTAAAGGAACATCATTCTGTTCCCCAGTTAGGATCCCCACACAACCTGCTTAGAAGGAATAAACAGTAATTAGTTATGTAAAGCGACAGAAAAGACAGACACAAATTAGTGATGGAGGATGAAGGTGCCAAGGTATCATTATGTGGGAGGTGCAAGTATCCCACCTTCCAGAGTTGTGCTGGGTAGAAAAGGCTGCAAAAGGTGGGTTTAGCTCAGGCAGAATCTTGATGTTCTGAAATTCTGCCACCCACCATCCCAGCTTCATCCCGCCCCCAGTACCTCAAAGTATCCTTTCTCCATGCCACACCATATCGTACAACCAAACCCAAGTTCCAGTCCTGTATGCACCACAATTGTCTCTGTGACCTTAGCTATCTACCTCTTGTAAGTCTCAGTTTCTTACTGTCAAATGAAAGAAGTGGGACTAGATTATTCCTAAATTCCCTTTTCCTTTGGTATCCTACACAAGTACAAGTATCTTTAAGATATTTTCTCCATGTTACAAAATAAGCTCTGTATTTTTCACTCAAGGTCAAGTGTAATCTGCTGGTTACAGCAGGAAAACATGACATAGGAGCTGTTATACAAAGATGCCATCAGGGACCAGGGAGGTCTTGGAAGTTTCTGAAGCAGCCAGGTGTGACACAGTGGGGTGCAGAGGAACTGGAGAGCATATGCCTTGGCCAAAATATCCACATGAAGATGCGTCAGAAATACTGTGTGGCCAGGAGGCACCAGTGTGCAGCCCCTGGCTAAAGAAAGGGAAACTGATGGAATTTCAGGCATCCACCCTAGGAGGTGTAAGAGGACTGGGGGAAGCTCGGATTAAAGGGCGGGAGAGGTGGGGGCATAACATATCCATTTTGCTGTCTATCTACTATCTCATTCATCTGTGTTTGTAGAGAGGCGATGTGTGACACATTTCACCCAACCTCATCCCTCATATCCATCAGTTGAATTCAATGATCTGAATCTCAAGACAAGTCCCAGAGCTCATTTTCCTCTTACTTCACAATGAAGGGGTTAGAGTAGCTTTGTTCTAAGGTAAATGTTGCAGCTTATATCCTATGTAGCAAATAGGAAACAGCATCAGCATTCATTCACTTACCCATTCAACATACACTTGACAGAACACAACTCACAAATATTCATCATAAAAGATTGCCTCTGGCGCCTAGAATTCAAGAGCCAACGGCACTATTCATTTGGGCAAATGATGCCAGCTCGCTTCCAGGCATTGTTCTGGTTTTGAAATGCAGGTGTAAGGCCTACAAAGTTTCTGCCCTCACGTAGAGAAGCACCTAGCAGGTGAGAACACAGAAACTGGTAAGATGATACCAGCTGATCATATGAGGTAAAAAGGAAAAAATGATGGGGTAGAAAATCCTACCTTTTAGAGGGTGTCAAAACAGGGAGCATTCAAGCTGAGGCCTAAATGGTGGAGCAGTGTCATTCAAAAAGACAAGGAAGAGCAGCCAGAGAGAAGGGATACCTGCTGTAAAATTCCTACTTAGGACAGGTTGGAGAGAAGAACACCCAGACACAGTGGAGTGAAAGAGGGTGGCAGGAAATAAGGGAACAGAACGATCAGGTTTCGGTGCTCAGTCATTGTGGCAGGCAGTAAGGAATACCCAATGATGGTGAACAACAACTCAAATCAGTACTGGGAGGACAGGGACAAGAGACCAACACAATGGAAATCAAGACGCTTGTCTTTTATGCCAACACCTTCCACTACTGCTGTGCAGTCTGCACCAGGCGTATCTGCAAGTCACTTAACCTCTCTGGGCTTCGGTGTCCTCAGCCACACAACAACGTGGCCAGTCAGTTACTCGTGGGACTGTTCCCATAGAGGAGAAGCACTAGGAAAGCAGAGATCGTTTTTCATTGATACATTTCTATACCCATGATGACGAGCACGGTTATGAACATGTATTTGGCACTCAATTAATATCTGTAGGATGATTGTTGAGCAATCTTTCTAGCTTTAGCACTCTAGGTTGCTAAGGCAATCTGATGAATATTCATTAGCATTGTTTGGGAATTTGTGCTTTCCATAGCCAATCTAAATATAAAATTGTGAGTATAAACACATTGTTTGGCTGACCAGCTGGATAGAATCTGCATACATGCCCTGGATACACACTGGATAATAATAAAATAATTTCAGAGATAGATTGCTAAATTTAATCAGAGTACTATAAACTGGAGGCTTGAAATATGCCTGGAACCATTATATACACTTTATTATTTTACTAAATGTTGAAATGAGTTCTGTGAGTAGGGAAATGACATCCAGAGAAGTTAGGTAGCTCTTTCAATGTCAGGTAGCTAGCCAGGGCTCATACCTAAGTCTATCATGAGCAGTGCCTTTAGGCACTATAAGCATGCTACTTTCTGAATTATTGTGCCTTGTACTAAATAAAATACCCATATGATTCAGGCTGCTGCAGCAAGTCAGTGATAGCAAGGATCCACTGTTTTTTCAGTTTTCCATGTTGTTGCACTTTGTGTATGGCTTCAAGTTGGCTGTTGTGACTCTCGACATCAAATTCAAGTTCAAGGGGGAGAAAGAGGTATGATGCCAGAAGCATCTTCCCCAAACCTTTAGCCAGCGTTTGCTTATAACTCACTAGCCAAAACTTTATCTTGTCATCTCTAGTATCAGGGAGATTAGAAAAGAGAAGAGCTTATAGAGTGGGTATATTGGTTCCCCAAATAAAATTGGGGTTCTGTCACTTAGGAAGAAAGAGTAGCTATTGGGAAGGTAGCTATTGGTCTGCAGTACATATGGGCATGATCTGGCCCTTGAATTGTCACAGAATCTCTGATTGCCTGGGGGTACATATATTTTTTTTCAGATTTATTTATTTATTTGAAAGGCAGAGCTATAGAGAGTCAGAGACAGAGACAGAGATAGGTAGGTCTTCCATCTGTTGGTTGACTCTTCAGATGGCCACAACGGCCAGAGCTGAACAGATCCAAAGCCAGGAGCCTGGAGCTTCTTTTGGGTCTCCCATATGGGTGCAGGGCCCCCAAGAAGCTGGGCAATCCTCCACTGCTTTCCCAGGCCACAGCAGAGAACTGGATTGGAAGTAGAGCACCTGGGACCTAAACTGGTGCCCGTACGGGATGCCGGCACTCCAGGCAGCGGCTTTACCTGCTACCGCCCAGTGCTGGCCCCGGCCCAGGAATACTTTTAAGCTGTGATGAATTATTTTCACTTTCTCATTAGTAGTTTTGCTTTCTATACATGAATGCGTAACACATGAAATGAAGGAAGTTAGTCACCAAGCAGATCTTTGAGGATTATAAACCAGACACCAAGTGGGTTCATGTAATTGGACAAGGCATGGCACTGGGTGACTGGACTGATGTCCATTTAGTCCTGGCTCTGCCACTACCTGTGACTTAAAGCAAATCCTTTCCTTTTTCATCAGTAAAATGAAGTGTTTACACCCTATGACATCTGAAGCCTTTTCAAGTACCACTTTGTTGATCCTGTGTACTGATTGTCAGTCATGGATTGAACTTGTCAATAAAGTTTTGGGGCTGGTGGTGTGGTGTAGCAGGCAAAGCTGCCGCCTGCAGTGCCGGCATCCCATATGAGCATCAGTTCAAATCCTGGTTCCAGCCCCGGCTACTCCACTTCAGATCTAGCTCTCTGCTATGGCCTGGGGAAAGCGATGGAAGATGGTCCAAGTCCTTGGCCCCTATACCCACGTGGGAGACCCGGAAGAAGCTCCTGTCTCTGGATCAGTGGGGCTCTGGCCATGAACCAGCAGATGGAAGACCTCTCTTTGTCTCCCTCTGCTCTTTTCTCTCTCTGCCTCTCTGTATTTTTGCCTTTCAAATAAACAAACAAATCTTAAACTAAAACTCTTTATTTTTTTTTAACATGCACAAAATGTTCAATATGTGTTAGGAGATTTCAGAGCACATTCAAATAGTACTTGTTTGACTAAAAGCAGAATAAGATGGGGTAAAAAGCTTTAAAACAAGTGAGAAGTAAAATTAGATAACAGAAGCTTAATAAGTGGAAAACGGAAGTTAAAAGGGAATGTAAAAAAGGCTGCGTTTAGCCACGCAAATTCCACCAGCAAGTTGGTGTGAAGTGACTCTAAGTTTCTGGATTCTGACAGTGACTGGAACAGGTACAGCAGTTCTCCCTGGGATGTTAAAGCAGCAGCAGTCACAGGCGCTTCGCAGGGAAGAGCAGCTCCTAGAAGTGCCTCGCAGAGCCGTCATCGCCTCCACGGCGTTTGCTTGGCCCAGAGGAGGAGTGCGTGTGCTGAGTGCTACCAGAGAAGCTGGATTTCGCCTTTCCATAAAGTGATGACGACTGCTACAATAATGATGCTATAAAGGGCATTTGTGAGTGTTCATTAGGTTTCAGAGCTTGTCATAACTGATTTACACACATTGTTTCCAAAGCTCGGTTTCCTTGACTATGAAATAGAATGGGAGTCATCTTTGCCTCTTTCTTTGTTACGATGAGTAATTACTGGAGCTGTAATCAACACCACTCACCAGAAGAGTTTCTGAACCAGGCTCAATTCAAAGGGGCTGCTGGGGATGACATGATTTTATATGTAGAAAATTCTAAATACTAGACTGAAAAAAAAAACACACAAAAAAGCAAAACAAAACAAAACAAAAATCCAAATCTTTTAGAAATGATCAAGAAATTCAGAACAGAAAGTGAAGTGGCAGCATACAAAAATCATGGTGCATTTCTGTACGTCAACAGTGGACTATCTGAAGGGAAAATCAAGAAAATGATCCCCTTTCAACAGCAACAGAAAGAATGAAATACTTCAGTAATTTAATGAAGGAGGGACGAGTCATCCGACATGGAAAGGTAGAAGGCACTCATGTGAGAGATTTGTTAAAGAAACAATACCTGCATTTGCATGCTTTGCCTGGAAAGATTCTCCATGCTCATGGATTAATACTATTAAAATGTTCACAG